ATAATATATAAAATATAAAAATATAATTTTGTTATTATTTAAATAAATATTAATATAAATAAAATTGTTTTAAAATCTTATTAAAATTAAATGTAATATATTTAGTAATTAATGTGTTAAATATTTATAAAAGTTACACAATGAAATGTTATAACTTTATATTATTTAGAACAATTAAGATAAATTTTAAGTTATATTATTTAGAACAATTATTTTAAGTAATAATATCATTATAAAATGTTATTCGAAGAAAAAAAACTAAAAATTTTGAAATTTGATTATAAATTTATAAAAAATATTATGAACTTATAAAATGCAAAGTAAAAAAGTAGAAAATAAAATAAAATTTTTAAAATATAATAATAAAAAATATATATATATTCAACAGAAAAATATACATATGAAATCTAATTCTTATATAATTTATTAAAATTTTTATAAAAATATGAAAAATAACAAATCACAATCACAAATATAATCATATACTAATAGCTATATTAATTCCTTATAATTACAACTCAAAATATATAACAAAAATATATCTAATTTTGTGATTATTTATTAAAAAGCAGAATACATTCACACTTTTAATTTTTTAAAAGATTTAAATGCCTAGAATAATCAATTGATCTCTCATCAAGAGGATTTTCACATTTATCTCAATTAATGTATTATCATAATTTTATGTTATGTTTTATAGCAAAAAGAAAAGAGAAAAATGTTAAAACACTGTTAACACAATAACACACCTTCCTTCACAGATTGAACATAGACGGGATTATCACCGGAGACTTTCATCCCATATCCGGCCTCGTCCTTGTAGACGACGAGGGTGGCGACGGGTGCTGGTTCAACGGTTCCACCCCCGGCGGCGCCTCCGCCACCCCCGTCGCTGCGTCGCAACGCCGCCGTTCCCTTCATCCCTCCTTCGCTCTCCCCCCGGCCCCCCCCCCCCCCCCCGCCCTCGTCCTGCTAGGCGGCGGGGGGGGCGACGGGTGCTGGTTCAACGGTTCCGCCCCCGGCGGCGCCTCCGCCCCCCCCGACGCCGCGTCGCAACGCCGCCGTTCCCTTCATCCCTCCTTCGCTCTCCCCCCGGCCCCCCCCCCCCCCCCCGCCCTCGTCCTGCTAGGCGGCGGGGGGGGCGACGGGTGCTGGTTCAACGGTTCCACCCCCGGCGGCGCCTCCGCCACCCCCGACGCTGCGTCGCAACGCCGCCGTTCCATTCATCCCTTCTTCGATCTCCGCCTGGCCTCCCCTCACCTCTGCCCCGGCTGCAGCGCAATTGTATGACCTGCAAGCAAAACGAAATAACAATACGTTGAAATTCAAATAATTGTTAATCGATAGACAATTATTTTTTTTTAATTATTTTTCTTTTCTTTCTTTTTTTCTTTTTAATTTGAATATTTTTTTTAATCATTATGGAGAAAATAAAGCTTCTGCGCAAAAACAGAAAATATAGTTCTGATGAGAAACATCGATTTTATAGACTTTTTTCAAGAGCCTTTTCGAAAGCAATAATATAAGTTTTACAATTTTTTTAATTTTAAGTTTTACAAGAAATTTAATTAATTTTAAGAAAGTTTACTAAATAAAATCATCAAATAAACATAATATTTTAAAGATAGATCTCAAAGAATTATATGCTTCACCAAGAAACAAATCATGTTAAATATTTATAAGATGTAATTTAAAAAAGATAATTCAAATTAATAATAAATTAATTTGTAATTAGTTGAAAAATCAATATTGATTTAGAAGAATAATAAAAGATTTTTTAAATATTTAAAAAATTAAAAAGTTTTGAATTGATGAATAAATAAATTATCGAAATATAAAAAAAGATTAAAATGATTATAAATTTTTAAATAAATTTTTCTAATATCGAAAATACAAAGAATATTCAACTTTTTTTCTAAAATCTGTAATTTTCTCTTTGAACTTTTTTTTTGTTAATATTAATATTGTAATAGTTTATCGAATTATGAATTTTTAATTTTATTTTACTTGTAATATTATTTCAATGCAAAAATGATGGAATACGAAAATCATTTAATATATTAAGTATTATTGATATGTTTATCTAATTAAATTATAATGTTATTTGATATACATAAATAAAATAAAATTTCTAGAAAAATTAATAATAATGATAAAATATAATAATAAAAATTATTTTCGTTTTTGTTCTATATTTTTTTAAATGTATAACATTTTAATTTAATGAACGGATAATTTAAAAGACAAGAATGAATCTCAATTAAAACAACTGTTATGTTAAGAATAATTACTTTTTAACGAATGCAGGATGTTTGATCATTCACCGCATATGAAGCTAATAAATAATCATGTCCCCCTTATCAAAGGAATTATGTCTGTCATTGCTATGTACTTTCACAAGCTTATAATCATATATAATTTACATTGGTATTTAATTATTATTTACTAATGTTTTTCATCAATATCTCCAATTTATAAATTAGATGACTTTTAATTATTTATTATTTATAAAAAAAAATTATTTATAAAACAAAAACAATCTTTTTCTTAGAAATTCTTATTAATTAAATAATACAATAAAAAAAAAATCATTATTAATTCTTTAATATCAAGATTTTTTTTATATTTTAAATTTTAAGAGTATTAGAAATATATCTAAAAAGATAAGATTCAAAATTTTCATTAGATAAAAATTCATATTTCTTATATAATAAATTATCTAAATTTGTATTAACTATTTTATATAAGTACGTATCATTGCAAAATATTCGAAATCTACATTTCGGTAGCTATTCTAATTGTAAAATTATACTATATTTTAATTATAAAATCATACAACTATAAAAGCTTATCGAAACATTGATAAAACATGATTAAAAAAAGTTAACAATTTGCATTATGTATATCGTAATGCTACAAATAAAAATTGATATTGAGATATTTATTGCATTCATATTTTTACAGATGAAATCCTGAATGAACATCCAAAATTTAATTCTTTTTTTCTTTTTTTTCCTTTCTTTTTAAAGAAAACATTTTTATATAAAAAATTATATTAAGATATATTCAATATTATATTTATATATATAACATAAGATCTAAATGTATATTTAGATAATTCTTATCCCAGTAAAATATTTTAAGAATATATTCAATTGAAATTTATTCAATGAATAAATGAAATAAATCATATAAAATATTTCAATTTTTACAGAAAACATTTTTTTTTTTTTAATATGAAACGCATACAATTATTTAATTTCTTAAAAAATTCAATATGATATGTATATAAATTTGGAGATTGTTTAAAGGTTTTATATTTTATATTTTATGTTATAAATTATATAATAATTTTCATATAAGATAGTTAAGTATAAATTTTCAATTATATTTCATAAATTAAATATTTCTTATTATTCATATACATATATTATATATTTCTTATTATTATATAATTTAAAAAAAACAAAATAATAAATATAAATGATCGAATAACAATTATTTTTATATTACTATTTATTAAATTTTCTATCTAATTTTTATTTTTTATTTCGCAATTGCAATAAAAATATAAATAAATCATAATAAAATTGATAAATTATATTATCATAAAAATTGTTCCAATTTTTTGTTAAAATTCAAATTTATATGTTAGAATTCAAAATTTTTTTTGTTATACTTTAAAAAAAATTTTTTTTTATTCATAATATTTATGAATAAATAGTAATAGTATATGATATTTAAAATATTTAAAGATTATTTGATTAAAAATAACATTTTGTTAAATAAATAGTAAAACAAAAATTAAATGATAATTAATTCTATACAAATAGTACACTATGTTTATAGTTAATATACTTGCTGCCTAGTTTTATCAAGGACAGTTAGAAAGTTATAATATGCAAATAATAATAATAAACTATTTATCTATTTAAATTCAATTGATTTTATTTTAAAGTTACATATTTCATTTTTGTACAAAAAAAATGAAAGCATAAAATAAGGATTTATTCTTTATTATTATTTTCTATTATATTATTCTCTATCTCGATTTACTTGTTTTAAACAATAATATTTATAACAATAATAATTACAACGAATAATTAATTTAATAATAAAAAATAAAAATAAAAATAAAATTATTTTCTTCTGCAGTAATACTTCGAATTAAATCAAAATTTCATGGAAAATTAATATAAAATTCTATGATTCTTTTTCATTAAACAATTTAATAAAAATAATAAAAATTAATAAAAAAAAATAATAAAATGAGAAGAATAATATTTTAGAAATTATTCCGACGAAAATAAAAATAATATATTAATTTCATAAACGAAATAAAATTTTTACGAAACTTTACGAGATTATTTTACTTTGTTTAAAGTCTACAGCCATTTTTATATCTCAAGAATATTTTAAAAGTATTTGTCGTAAGTAACAAATATGCCTATAAAAAAATTTAATTTTATTTAAAATTTATTAAAAAATGTCATCATTTTATTGATTTAATATTTTGGAGATAATTTCAATATCACATTTGTGATTTACATGCTTCGTGTCAGATGTGAACTGTGAATTATCTTATAGCAAATTTTGAACAAATCATATACAGTAATATTGACATTTTAATTAATTTTTTTTAATTTTTTAATATATTTTTTGTTAATATATTTAAAATGATATTAATATTATTGATTTATTACATTTTTCTTTTAAAACAAAAATATTAGTTTTTAAATACGCACTTGAAATAATAGATTTTTAAATTATAAATTTAACTTATAGATTTATAAGTTATAAATATATTAGAAGTAATAAAAACAATAATAAAACAATATTTAATTAAATATAATATTTTTTTTAAGATCATATGAATATTTAATATTAATATTTCTAATATACTACTATTCAATTTATTATAAATTTATTAATATATTTATTATAACGAACTGTTACTTCTCAAGAAAATATTTCATCTAATCAATATTTCTATTAAATTATATATAATTTAAAATTGCACAAATAATTTTATTTAATATAAATTATATATTTAATCAATAGTGTTTTAAAATTTCTCTCATTTTTTTCAAAAAACATTGAAAATAAGTAAAATTTTAGAGAAATCGGATTAAAACAAAATATCATTTCTTAACACGCTATGATTAAATTTCATTACCAATGTTACTGCCATGTTTAGTTTGCTTATTCTTGTGCCTGACTTACTATAAGACTTTTTTCAAATATATTATAAACAATAAAATTTAAATGAATAATTTAATTATATTAAACTAATGTTAAAAGTTATGTATTTATTTTAATTACTCATCGATAGTTATTAAGAAACATATAACTAGAAATTATTCAATTCTAAGAAATTGTAAAACAATGACAGCGACTAAAATTCAAAGAATATGTCAGAGAAAAACTAAGAAACCATACATGACATCATGTTAATCGATATAACAGGTTAATAGGTCAGTCGGTTCTTATACTTTGTAAGCATGAGAAAATAAAAAAAAGACAATCGAAAAAAAGAGAAAATACACGGATATAAGATTTCAAGAATGTCTCGTGAATAGGCGTACCGAAGATAGAGTAAATACATACCTTTCATTTAATCTATTTCGTAGTGGAACGAATCTTGTACAAAACACCAATAACGGATTAGAAGAATAACAAAGTGAGATATCACTTCACCTTGGCACTATATTTCACAGGAATTATACATATCACAATTGTCATAACAAAAGAACACATATGAATATGGCTGGTGACGGATAATTATTCTGTCTCTAGCACTTTCACGGTACATTTTGATGACTCCTGATAATGCATGATAAGAGAACTATTTGATAAAAAAAGGAAGACCACTTCTTTACTACTTGTACAAACATACACACACAATACGTGCATGAATACGAAGGCACTGATTTTTTTATAAAATACTTACACATTCGATAAAACGAAAATACACTACTAACAAGTGTCAGCCATCTTGTATTGGAGCGAAGCACAACCCAACGTCCCATAGTGCATCACGACAGCTGCAGAAACTCGTACCAAGTTTATAATGGTAAGATTTTAAAGAAGAAATGAAACACTTTTGATTGGTGAGCGATTTAAATAGATTGTTCCTATTGGTTAGATTATATTAGTGAATTTTCTTCCATATATGATTCTTTTGAAATATATTTAATGCAATTTTTCAACCAATCATTTACTATTATTCTGAAATATTACTGAATATTTTACGTTATAATTTTTATAATAATGCATAAATAAAAATAAAAGTTAAATTTAAATAAGTGATAAAACTTCATGTAATTAATTTTTCAAATTAATAATATTAAATAAAATTATAGTCATATAAATTTGAAGATAACAACTTTAAAATGAAAGTATCTTTTCATATAAAAAGTAAAATTTATTATTGCATATTTTCTATTTATTTATTTTTAAACACAAAATAAATTATGAATAAAATAAATTATAAATATATTATGAATATTTATATTTTTAAATTTATGAAATTTATCATTTATTTATAAATATAAAATTATTTTCACTCCATTATACATAGTTTATATTATTAAATAAATATTTTAACAAAATATATAATTTAATGCTATGTAATACAGTAATACATGTAATAAACCATCATATATAATTATGTTACTTGAAATCAATAAAAAAATTATGCAAAGTTATATTCAATATTATACTAATTAAAAATATACTTGATTTAATACAAGTTGAACTATTTAAAAAAGGATAAAAAAAATCATATGGTAAAGTAATATCTAAGTTTGGTCCTCCTACAAAATAATATTTGGATGGTTTTGATATATCATGAAATGTAACATAACTAACAACATCTATTTTTAATACATCTATACACTTTTCAGATGTACACTTTGACCAAGATATATTAGATCCTGCTGAAAATATAATACTAATACCTATTATCTTATAATTTTTTAATGTTTCAGGTTTTGTTAAAGCAGAATACAAAATATTTAAATGTATAGATGTTATTAAGTCTGAACAATATAAACGATTATTAATAAGCCATCCTACTATAATATTTTGCGGTATTCTATCCAATAAAATTTTTGTCCAATTAGTAGTATCATTATTAGAAAAGTTACCTAACTTGGCAACATAAATATTATATTGATTTATCTGTGTAATATTAAATAAAGTATCTTTAAGTAAAAAATGCATAATAAGATTTTGTAATTCTACACAAGATGCTGTACTAAAATTATTAGTACGTATAGATACAGAGCACTTCAATTTAATATTTTCTCCAAAAACAAGAGCATACCTATTAATTTCATTACATTCACCAGTTTTTGTAGCTATAGGTAATGTCAAAAAACTATTAGTTTTATTAAAATTGATGTATTTAGTTTCTATATTATTAGTCTTATTTATTTTTAAAGTACCTATAATTAATGGTTTTCCAATAATATAGCCAGGATTACCACTGAGAGAAAAACTTTTTTCTTTATCTAATTCTGCCCATTCATATGTTACTATAAACTGCTGATAAAAATTTTGAGAAACATTACCTATATTAAAATATACATCAATATTATTAATTCCCATGGAGCCATTGTGAACAATTAAATATTTTACACCTGTTACAATATTGTAACATGTGCCATTAGAACAAGATCCTAGTATAGTATTATTACTGCATGTTTTCCAATGTTTACAATAATAACTATTTAAAGTTAAACATACATTTTTAGGACAAATCTGCAAATTATAAAATTAAATGTAATTTTTTTTAATGTAAAATAATATTACATACACATATTATATATTATTTTAAAAACTATTATTATTTTTTATATACCTGATCCAATATCTGAATATAAGTTTCATTTAACAAATGAGGAGATACTATAATTGTAAAATTATTAAATGTTGCAGGAAACAAAAATTTATTTGTGTCAATTAATTCAGTTTGCAAACATTGTTCTTTCCATTCACGAAGATATTTTAAAGTTTTTTTAAAGGAGCATAGTTCAGTAAATCCAGATTGTAATATTTCTAAATTTATAAAAAAATCAGTTAGATAAAATATTAAATATACTAATAAATATAACATAATATATAAATACCAAAGGGTTGAATATAATTGTTATATACTATCCACATAACATCACCATCTTGATAAGGATTAGAAGTATTATATTCAAGTTGATAAAATTGGTCATTCCATTTCCATGTCAATCTGTTTAAATTTATTGTGTTTCTTAAATCTTCTTCAGTTTTTATATCCTATGTGAAGTTAAATATATAAAATGATTAATGATCTTATATAAAGAATATAATTTATAAACAATGTTAATCTTACCAATTCATTGTTAATACTGTAAGTAGGTGGAAGATTATCATATAAAATACAAAAAAGATTATTCGCCAATTTTTCAAGTATAAATGGAGTATTATTTCGTTGTATAAAATTTCTGTTATAACAATAACGTTTATCAAATAATTCAGGTTGATAATTTTCACAATATGAAAAAACAGTTAAATGAAAATCATTACAATCTTTGTCACAACAACAATTAATATCGCAAGATGACATCTATATAATTTAAATAAGAAACTTTTAATTAATTTAAAATGATATAGTTTTTAACATATTAAATATAAAATATGATAAAAATTTACCATTAAGTCACATTCACATATGTCAGAATGGATTTTATGTACATTTTGATTTCGTGATTTTTTATTGTATTTAATTTTCTGAGGCATTTGTTTGGTAGCTATTTGAAATTTTGTAGATTGAGTTGAATATATTGAATTGATAGTAGTATTAGTTATATTATAAATATTTTCAATTGTAGTACTTAAAGTTTCTTCTAAAATATCTTTCTCTATTAATTCATCACATCCTGTTTCATTCACACATGTAAATATCTCTTCAAGTTTCTTAGCATATACTATTTTATTTAATATAAGATAAAATAATATTAATATAAACTTTATTATAAACATATTGATAGTTTTATATATATATATATTTTATAATTTAGGATATATTTATTAAAAAATATTTTTAATCTATATTGTAATGTATTAACATAAAATATAATATATTGCAATAATATTTATATATGACATCCATATTTTTCAAAATTTCGGGTAAGTATATACAATTCAATTTTAATTGTACCCATACTTTCTGTAAGTAATTCAAATCTATCCAAAGAATTAACCAAAATATTTGGTGATTTTAATTGTAAACTTATTCCTAAAAACTTATCTCTTAATCTATCTTTCCAATTACCTATGGATTAAGAATAAAATATATTGAATAAAATAAATTTATGCCAATATTTTTTTAGAAAAAATTTAAGTTACCAATTGGTTTCCATGTGTGACACTTTATAGAATGCAATCCAGGAGATAAAGGAATATTACAAATACCATAGGATCCAAATAATATTCTTCCATGTGTATCTCTATGAAATATTTGTAATAAAATTTTTGGTGAATTTTGAATAGTTTGTGTTGTATAATGTAAATCTATGGGATGATCCCAAACTGGTTCATTAGTATATAAATCACAACTTTCTTGAGTTTGTCCTTCTTCATAACCATTTAATACTTTCCATCCTCTACCTATAAAAAAAAATTGAAAATATGTATATGATAAAAAAATAATAAATTTTTTATCATAATTTTATGATAAATATTTTATTACCGGCATGAAAACTCCACTTGCATAAAAGATGTGGTTGTTTAAAATCTTTCGCAGACGAAATTCGACCTACAACATGCAATTCGGCCATTCCACAAAATCATATCATTTTATTGAATAATGTATTAATTGAAGTTCTTTCTCTTTCTATGAATGAATTAAAATATATTAGGATTAAATAATGTTTGTATTTTATGATAAAAATTATGATATATATAATCATTATGATGACATTGTGTTAAAAATTAATATATATTATTCTTTTATTTGTTGAATTAATTATTTGAATATGAAAATTACAAATAACGAATTGAAAATATTAACTTGAATGAAAAATATTTAAGAGATATTAATTAAAATATGTCACAATTTTTATTGTAATTTAACCAAACAATTGATAAATATAAACAATCTTTATGCTACAAACGTATTATAATATGTATGTCAACTGTTGACTCATCAATCAACATAACGTATTATGTACGCCCTCTTGTGAAGTTTGAATTGCTTTAGGCATTATAAAATTTCCAATCTTATTTTTTAATGTTACATACATAGTTTTCTATAGTTAAATTCTGTTTTCTATTAATCATTTAAGATTACTTTTTTATATGTAATTCTTATCATAAATTTTCTTAAAATTTGAAATATTATATTGTTTAGTTTCAGTTCATATTTTATTATATAGTATAATTATGTACTGCTTTTAAATTTGCAAACTAAAGATTGAAAAAATTAATAAAACATTTTAAAAATTGCTTTTTTAAACAAGTAATTTAGTAATTAGTATTTTTTATTAAATATTTAACTTAATTCATCACATCGAATAGAATGTTATTATGTATTATAGGTTATATGAATTTTCTAACATTTGACAAATTTCTCAGATTTTATTAATAAAAATTTATTTTATGAACTTCTTTGTTGCTTATACTTTAAATGGAAACTAAACCAAAAAGTGAACATTTGTTAGAATTAAAAGGTAATAAATATTATTTATATATAATTTTAAATTTTTAAAAATATAAATGTTAAATATTGTTAAATATTATAATTATAAATATGATATTAAAATAATTACATTTTTATATATTTATATTTTTTTTAGTAATGAGATTAACAAGACCTATGCTTGCAAGTCCAGTAGTTGTTACTTGTGATTCAACAGATCTTCCTGGTAATACTTTAAATAATGAACTTAAAAATGATTGTACTGCTTTACAAGGAATGGAAACTCTCGCAGTAGGACAGTTTATGGTATTACCACAAAGTTTTGGGTATGTATATGAATATATATTAAAATTTAAATTCATACATTTAATTTTCAAACCATATTTAATTAATTTATATTTCATATTTATTTAAATTTATATTAATTATATATAAATTATATATAAATTAATTATATAATATATATATAAATATA